TAAATCACATGTAAATCACATGTACAGCCGTGTCTTGCTCCTGGAGACCAACACAATGAGAGAAGATTGAAGGAAGGAAGGTTTCCTTTACACTTTTTGTTTGTTGAATCATCTCCTAAAAATAGGCCTTCATCAAATATTCACCACTGGTCTAATTAGTCAGGAGAAAGCTGCTTTTCAGAGTGGGAAAGCATTCCCAAAAAATGATGCAACATTTGTATGGGATGAGATGATATAGGAGAATCCCAGCTGATTGCTTGGGTAGACTTAAACAGATTAATAATGTGCAAACCATGACCAAATAAAAATTCCTTTTCACTCTGAGGGGATGGACAATGATGCTTTTTAAGAAGCTAACTTTTATTAGTTCTAAAACTCCAATAATTTGATTTGAGGGCATTTCTCATTCCATTCTGTAGGTTTTCTTGTGCTACAAAGGAAAGCCTCGAAAATGAGGGTGTGATTTGTGTCTCCCAGCCGTGTTTGGTGTCTGTTCCAAGGGTTTGCAGAGCTTTATTCCCAAAATGTGGTCATTCCATGGGTGACCACTGGGATTTGTGCATCCTTTGTGATCCGTGGAATTGTTGGGCACCATTAAAAGTTCGTGGAAAAAAAAGTGATGGAGCATCCAAAGTGATTGGAGGACAAGGGGGGATGGATTTAAACTGAAAGAGGAGAGATTTAGATTATGTTTTAGTGGGAATAAATTCTTTACTCAAAAGGTTGGACAGGGCTTGGGGCAACCTGGGATAGTGGAAGGTGTCCCTGCCCATGGCAGGGATGGAATGGGATGAGCTTTAAGGTCCCTTCCAACCCAAACCATCCTGGGATTCCATGATGATTCTATGTTTTTGCAATATCAGACTGTCAAAATTTGTCTCAATAAGTCCATTTATTAATAAAATAAATATTAATCACATCATATGGGGATAGATCAGAATCCAGACAATTTGTATCTAATTTAAATTTTTTACTTTTACACCAAGTTTTCTCTTTCCCTGCTTGACTAAAGAAGTTGTTAAAGTGAACATGAACAGCTGAGCGTGCAGAGAGGCCCTAAAATGCAACATTTCAAAAAAAAGAAGTGAGAGAACCACATTAAAAATTGAAAACATACCTTCAGCATATGAAAATTAGGGAGAAATTTTCCATGGGGGGAAGGGGTCCAGGGGGCTGAAGGGGGGGCAGGGCAGGAATTCGGTGTAGTTTTGCATAGTTCTCCAGTGAAATATTTTGAAGGATATTGTAATGGAACAGGATTGCAAAACAAATCTAAAAGGCATGTCCTGGCTCACGGGGAAAAGGAGGAATTGGGTTAGATGTGGAAAGCTGTGTTTGCTCGTGGGGAGATAACAGGAGTTGTCTGGAGCTGTGAGAAGGTTGTGGAGGAGAGGGATTTATTGCATGGGCTGATGGGAGTCAGGCCTCTGGGTGGGATCCAGTGTCCAGAATACCTTGGATTTGCTCCAGCTCCTTTCTATCCCAATCCAAGGTGTGGAACGCTTCAGATGGAGCGTTCGGATGGGGAAGGGAAAAACGGTGCATCAAGAGGTGGGATTTTTCTGCAGTCAGGAATTCACAGGATCACAGAATCACAGGATCACAGAATCCCAGGATCACTGAATCCCAGGATCACTGAGGCTGGAAAAGCTCTCCAAGATCAGAGTCCCCCCTGTGCCCAATGCCCACCTTGTCCCCCAGCCCAGAGCACTGAGTGCCACGGCCAGGCCTTCCTGGGACACCTTCAGGGATGGGCACTCCAAACCTCCCTGGGCAGCCCCTGCCAAGGCCTGACCACCCTTTCCAGGGAGAAATTCTTCCTCCTGTCCAACCTGACCCTCCCCTGGCACAGCCTGAGGCCATTTCCTCTCCTCCTGTGGGGTTGTAGGTCCCTGGACCAGTAAAAAATGTAAAGGTTTGAGTAGTCTGGTGTTATGGAGTTAAATGAAAGAACACACAGGAACTTTCTGTGGGGATTAGGGCTGGATTTCTGTACCAGAACATGGATGGGCAGCTCTTCCCTGTGCCATTGCAGTGGTTACTGTAAGGACTGGGGGCTTTACTGCCTGCACTTTGTGGAAATCCACGTGGAATTTGCTCCTTAGCCATTAATACCCGAAATATTTAAGAGCTGAGAACAAATAAATGTTATAAATTCTGCTTTAGCAATTCTTACTTTCCACAGAATCCCAGAATCCCAGAAGGGTTTGGGTTGAAAGGACCTTCTAGATCATCCCATTCCAATTCCCTGGCACCTTCCAGTATCCCAGGTTGCTCCAACCTGGCCTTGGACACTTCCAGGGATCCAGGGGCAACCACAGCTTCTCTGGGCAACCTGTGCCAGGGCCTCCCCACCCTCCCAGCCAGGAATTTCTCCCTAATCTCTCATCTAAACCTGCCCTCTTTCATAAAAATATTTAAATACTTTCCACAGAAGAAGCAATTAAGGACTTTTTTTTGCTCCTTTTTGTGCCATTTCACACCCTGAAGAAGGTTGTTGTGATCAGTTGTGGTGGAGGTGGAATGAGATGTTAACTGAGACAGGACACTGCAGATCCAGCAGAAATACAAGGTTTCTTCCAAGCATCTCTTGCAAAAAAAAAAAAGTTGCTGGATATTATTTACTCATAATGGATCCAGAGAAACTGCCCTAAACAGCAACGTGAACCACAGCAAGGCTGGGCTGAGATGAGCAGCTTTCCCTTCACCCCGTGCTCCCAGGATTTTAAATATATATTTCCTGGTGTTGTCACGTCACAGAAGGTTAATTCTCACTCAGAGTAACAGGGAAATTATTCCCCTATTTTAGCCTTCCACAGGAAATTCAGCAGGAAAGTAAATTCTGCCTTAGGTTGGATGGAACATCATCTGCTCCCTCCTTAAGGAGGATAAAACCAATCCAACGTCAGGATTCCTGAACTGTTGCCAAGAGCTTCCAAATCCTGTTCCTGTGTCCCAGACTGAGGATTGTTTTGACAAGATGTCCCTGTGACATTCCCAGGGAGCTCCTCAGTCTCCTGGTCCCTTCCCCAGTCTTGTCCAGCCAAGGATTACATCCTGCTGGAGTGCTCCAGAGTCTTGGAAAGTGGAAGCAGAGCAGCTCCAGGCTATTCCAGAAGGCTCCAGGCTATTCCAGCTCCAGGCTATTCCAGAAGGCTTCATCCCACAGCAAATCTGAAATCCCGGAATCTTTAAGGTTGGAAAAGGCCTCCAGGTCCAACCTTTGCCCAAATCCCCCCGTGGTCTTCAGATCTCAGCCCTTGAGTCCAGGGGCTCTGCCCAACCTGCTCCTCATCCTTGGAAAGACTCCAGGGATTTTTCTTTCCCCACGGAGCGTTTGGAGCTTTATATTTGTAAAAAGAACATCTAAAGAGAATGTTCTGTGTTAGGGGACTTGAGGGAACATTCCCAGGACTCTGTTTATGCCTCTCCAGTCTTCCTTTAGTGGCCTTGAAGGAAGGAGCTGTTATTCCTGTTAAATATAGATTTAATGTGGTGCTCTTGCAGAAATGTGGGATCCTGAGTCTTCATGTTCCATTTCTAGCTCAAAAAAAACCCTTTTCTTATTAAAATCAGTCAGGTCTGTAACATTTACTGTGTTTAACATGTTGGCATGACAGAGTGTCAGGAATGAGGCAGAAATGACACATGATCCCAAATAAAACCTGTTAATGTTGTTACTCCAACCGTCATCGGTGCCTTTTGTGTTTGAATTTTAGGATTGCTGTTTGTTCTGATGTGTTTACTGTTCCAATCCCACACTCCCATGTTTGTCTCACCTTAACAAAACACCCAGACTCGAGAGCTCAGCCTCACCTGGTCAACTTGGAAACCTGTTTTGGGGAAATAACATAATTTTGGGGGAATAACATTGTTGTGAACTTCGGTCATGAAGAGTTAAATCATGGAGGGGGGGGGGAAGGAATTATTCCTGAAGATATTCAGATTGTTTCCCAGGTATTCAGAGATCAGTGCCTTGATGCTGCATTTTCCCTTTTTACAACACAATTTTTGGAAAGATGATTATTTAAATTTAATCCAAATGCAGCGCTTTTCCATTTTTATGGATATTACCGAGCCCGGAAGCAGCTTCCTCCACATTAAATTCATTCAGGTTTATAAACAATTTTTAAAGGGCATTAATTTAGTCATCTGCTGATGGTTCTGAACAGAAGAATACGTGAAAATATTCAGTGAAAAGATGCATCCCTTAATTCACCCAAACTGTACATTAACTATGCAATAGCAGCTTCACTCTTGTTGCTTTTAAGACGTAGTTCCATCCACGTATAAATAGAATTTGCTGGCAGGTTTATATTTACTCTAAGCCTTGTTTTAATGGTTCCACTGACATTGAAAATCTGAATTTTAAGCTCTTTAAATGGCTGCAGCTGTAAACACCTCCCTGCGCTGAAAAACTTGGGGAAAACGTTTTTTTTCAGGCTGTTTCATCCATGTTTTTCAGGCTGTTTTATTGGAGCCAAGGAGTCATGAAAGAAACCCAAGAAGACAACTTGGACAGCGAGCAGAAGCTAAAAAGCAAACAGAAAGAATGTGGCATACAAAGGGTGTAATACCTGGAGGTACTGGATCTGACTCATATTTATAAAAAAAATGAGACAAGCTTTCACCAAGTACAAGTTCTCTGAGCCAGTCCTCAAGCTGGGAGCCAATTCCAACTAGGAATTCTCCTTTCCTGACAGGTAACGAAAGGATTGGCGAATTATGATTTGCCCAAGTCGGAAGCACTAATTTTTTTTCCTCTCTAGAGTTCGTCCTTATGAATAGATAAGGAGTTTAAACCTTGCATATTTAATGTGGACTGTGATGGGAAAAGTGACTCGTTGAACCAAAATGGCCCCTCGGAAGGACTTGGTTTCAAACTGAGCTCGGAGCCTCCCGATGCACTTTGTCCGATTCGGGATCAGCCGAGCTGCAGGGCCTGCTCTGGGAGGCCAGGATGACATGTAGGAGAAGGAGATCCCCCTCCTGTTGATATCTCTGGAGTCTCACAAGCAGAAACGGGAAAATGAATGGTGGGAAGGAGTGTGACGGAGGGGACACGGACGGAGGGCCACCAGCAGTGCAAGTTCCCGTGGGGTGGCAGCGGCGGGTGGACCAAAGTGGAGTTCTCTACATCAGGTAAGGTCACCCCAGGGGCACCTGCTTTCCTTGCTCTGGGGGTTCTGTCGTTAAATTAATTTAAATTAATTATTACTGCCAGTTGGGGCAGCAAATAAGGGACTCAGCTCCTTCCTCGCACTCAAAAACGTCCCGGGAAACTTGTTGTTTTCCAAGGGGATTTTTGAAGCTGAAGGAGGGCAGGGTGAGATGGGATATTGGGAAGGAATTCCTGGCTGGGAGGGTGGGGAGGCCCTGGCACAGGTTGGGCAGAGAAGCTGTGGCTGCCCCTGGATCCCTGGAAGTGTCCAAGGCCAGGTTGGAGCAACCTGGGCTGGTGAAAGCTGTCCCTGCCCATGGCAGGGGGTGGGACTGGTTGATCTTTAGGTCCCTTCCATCCCAAATTATTCCAGGATTCTGTGATTTTTTTTGAAAGGGAATTTAAGTTATGTAACTGCTTAATACCTGTAGAACTTCTGTGGCTACTCAGTAGCTCCAAAAAACATCAGTTTTGTTATGCCCACGGAAGTTCTCTGTTCACTATCACTGCTGTTCTCCAGCAAGATTTACTCCTATGGATTCCTCACATCTCTCCTGTAGGAAAAGAAACAGGAACATAAGCCTAAATCTGAAGTTTTAGGTACTTTATTTGTTTATTTTCGTGGCTTATTGGATTTTTTTGGGTTTTTTTGCTTCGCCCCAGAACGGTCACGAAGAAATGCATTGAAATTGGTATTAAATCAATGTGTTCAGACAAACAGACTGTAAATTAAATGTTATTGGAAAAAAAAGATCAAAGTCAGCTTTAACAAAATGTGGGGAGAGCAGGTTTACATCACACAGGTCCAGTCTGTTATTTGCTTAATCTCATTCCACTATTCTGTCATTAAAATAACCACATTTTATGTATTACCAAGACAAAACCCTTTAATGAGTCAAAGCCTGCTCCAATTTTACACTAAACTACCATAAAAGATCAGATGCATTCCGGGATTTCTTGTTGATGTTCCCAATTAGCAGAATCCAACCAAATCCGTGTCAGTGATACCCATGTCAGGAGAGAAATCGCCTTCCCTTGCACTTCTCATTACAGCTCTAATTCACTGGGCCTCTGCCTGAGTTCAAAATCAATGAGAAAGGAAAAGTTCTGGCTTGGTTGGGGCCTTTTTTTTCCCAATAATTTTTATATCCAGACACCAGGACATCAAATGCTTTGGTACTTTTATGTCCCTCGTGATCCCACCCGCTTTTCAACTTGGTTTTCTACAGCTCTGAGAAGTTTCATACATTTCCTACAGCCTTGGGGGTGACTGTGTTATTTCTGCCCTCTTCCCATGTTCTTTTTTTATTCTTTAATTCAGTGGTTAAAGGGTGGAAGTCAAATAGTCCCATCTCCTGCTTGACATGGAGCATCCACAGGGCTCAGCCAGGGCAGCTGGATCTCCAAGGACTGAATCCTGCTCTGCCCTGAAGTGTGCACAGCATTTATGGAGACAAGGAAAGGTCAAACAATATTGACTCCACAGCTATCCTAGGGAAAATTAGTGGATATATTAAGATCTGACATGATTTAACCATCCCAGCTGAATAAAGACCCTGTGTTTGTGCTCCCCTGTAAAGCACACAAGCGTTGCTGGCAGCTGGCAGCACTTGCTTTGGATTAAATCAAGATTAAATCCATTAATTAACTAGTTTTTATTACCTGGTAAAAGCACTGAGTTGATTCTCAGGGCTTTGCTTGGTAAAACTGTGCTGCTGCCTTAAAGTAGGGCCTAAACCATCCCTGGAAGTGTCCAAGGCCAGGTTGGACGGGGCTTGGAGCAACCTGGGCTGGTGGAAGGTGTCCCTGCCCATGGCAGGGGGTGGAATGGGATGATCTTAAGGTCCCTTCCAACCCAAACCATTCCATGATTCCATGGATTCTTACAAAGGAAGCGTGAGGAGATCTGTGCACACAAAAGAGACTTTGCAGTTATGGCTCTGCCCAGGAACAGGAAAAAAAATGGGCCTTTTTAAAGTTTGGTGGTTTCTTGTGGACAAATAACCCTGGCTGTACGTGCAGGAGGGATGGTGGATCCCACATCCCACAGATTCACTGGAATGACCTTCCTTCACACCCTCTGATCATGAGCACAGTGTGGGTTTTTTTCCAGGATCTCCTTGATCCTGAACTGGTCACGTGTGTCCAGGCAAACTGCACAAAAGGGTTATTTAGGATTGCTTTATTCCAGAAATATTCCAAAAAAAAGAGCCTTTTTTTTTTGTTTACCCAGTCCTGACTCCAGAGCATACTGAACATGAATTTTTAAGCATCACAGAAAGTGTCTGTGGAGGTTTGAGGTGCAGATGGGATGGTCCAGAGCAAATCCCATGGGAAGCTGTTCCATCACCAAGTGTGGAGCTGAGCATAGTCAGGACAGGTTGGCAAAGTCCAAAGGGATCATGATTTAACCAGTCTGGAGCTGAAATTCAAATAAATTGAAATGAAGAGTAGTTTTCCCCTCCTCCCCGAGGATTCCAGACAGGGAAGGTTTGACTTCCTGACCTGTCACTTCAGCCCTATTTTTAGTTTTGCTCTTTTATCTTCCTCACCCTCAAAACTGTCACTGTTACACAGATTCAGCCCGAGCACTTCTCCCAAAAATAACCATTCCAGGGCAAGTCTGGCAAATAAATCCCTGATTTAAAGTGTCAGCAGAGCTGAAAATGTCACTTGCAGATGTTGCTTTAGATGTCACTTGGTTCTTGTGCGGGAGGAGACGTTTCCACCTTGGGTTTTAAGCGCCAAAGTTTGTCACAGTTTGTTTGGAATTTGTTTTCCTCATCCAAGCTATTCCAGTTGGGTTGTTTTTGTTAAAAATTGGGGCTATTTGCAGCTCCTGGCTCCTGGGTGGGCTGTTCCTCACTTCCACTGAGAGGATCCAAGTCTTAGCTGGATGAAACCAAACTTTGTGCAACTCAGAGACCTGGATGCAACAGTTTTATTTCCTTTAAAATATGTTTGAGAGGGGGTTTTTTTTGGTGTTTTTTATGAAGTTTCATTGCAATTCTTGACAAAAAGCAAGAAATAATATGGAAAAAATAATAAATATAGCTCTCCTTGTGAGTTTTTAGACCGGCAGGTGCAAGTCATGACCTATCAAATAGCTTTTATTCATCATTTCTGTTCCTTTACAGTCCCAGTGGGTCTTTATTATCCTGCTTGGAGCAGGTGAAGACTTACTTGCTGACTGATGGAACGTGCAAGTGTGGCCTAGAATGTCCTCTTGTTCTTCCCAAGGTAAAGCAAAGCAGCATTTTGGGTCTTTACTGGAATATTTATGATGCCATGGCTTGACCTCTGTTCACATCATATATGTGTATATCAAAATAAGTAGAGTGCACCCAAAGTTCTACCCTAAAATCCAAAAGTTAATCTCTCCTCTGCCTCCTCCCCTCTTGGACAGGATCTGACTCAGTTATTATAAATATATTTATCATTTCCAAACTTCCTGTCAATGTAGGAGCAGTCAAAGAGCTCTGAGGAACAGAGGAAAATTCCTGTATATTCTGTATGAAATTGAGGTGTGTTTGGTGAGTTTTCTGCCCATAATCATGGCTTAAACACTGGAATTTTTCACTCCCAGGTGTTTAATTTCGATCCTGGAGCTGCTGTGAAGCAGAGAACTGCTGAAGATGTCAAAGCAGATGAAGATGTCACCAAACTATGCATCCACAAGAGGAAGATCATTGCTGTGGCTACACTGCACAAAAGCATGGAAGCACCTCATCCTTCCCTGGTTCTCACCAGTCCCGGGGGTGGAACAAGTGAGTAAAACTTAAATCCTGCAGAATCACTTGATAATCTTAATTTTGTACATGTAATTACTATGCAAAACCACCCCCGAAAGTCTGATGTGTCTGTGAGTGCAAAAATAAACAGATTTAAGGAATAAATGGAATGATCAGAGATGCAGGGAGATAGAAAATGAGTCTAAATCAGGTCATTCCCAGCCCAAGAGCATGATTTTCTTGGAAAAGGTATCAGATTGTTCTAGAACAAAGAAAATACATTAACTCTCATCTTTTGGAACTGTGGCAGTATGTCTGATATTCTGTCACATGGGAAATTAGAGGAGCAGAATAAAGTGATTATGAAGGGATTAGGACGTGGCTAAATGGGAAATTGTGTTGTAAAGGAGAAGATACAGCAAAGGAGATCTCCACTGTAATTTCTCAAGGATTATTTTTAGGCACCAACCTGGATTAGCATTTTAATTATCCATGTCAACATAAAAAAAAAAGAGAAAATAAGTAATGTGTTGGTGGCTGGGAGTTGACAGGTGTTACCAAAACAAGAGAAGGTCAAAACCACGTTGTAAAACCGGGGGGATCACTGAGATCTGGGGTGAAAGAAAAGGTGTAACAACAA